CTGCAGCAAGCTGCAGCAGCAAGAAGTGCAGTGGAGCGCAGCAGGAGGGTCTCTCTAGCGGCAAAAAGCGCCTGCTGCTGCTTCCACTGTATCCAACGCTGCCGCAACAACACCAGCAGCAGCAGCAGCAGCAGCAGCAGCAGCTGCTGCAGCTGCTGCTGCTGGTGGTGCGGGTCTCACCGGGGCAGTCGCAGAGCAAAATGCCCCTTCCGGGGAGCGGAATGGTTTGCAGTGTGCGGGTTTTTCCGGGCTGGTGGGAAACGGAAACCTTTTTGGAGTGGAGAAGAGCATTAATGAGGGAACTCTTGCCCACATTTGGGAAGCCCACAGTGCCCACGACGAAGTCCTTCTGGGGGCCTCCGGCTTGGCCTTTTCGCGCCAAGTGCCGAGTCCGCAACTTGCAAAGAAGTGCCAGCAGCTCTTCGCAGCTCAGCACCGACGCGTCCGCCTCCGCCGCCGCGGTGTCTGTACACCGCGCCGCCCCCCCAACGCACTCCCCGTCTTCTCTCTTCAGCAACTCCCCCTCCCCCCCCCCCTGCTGCTGCTGCTGCCGCTGCTGCTGCTGCTGCTGCTGGGGGTCTTGGGTCTGCTGGAGCTCGCGGAGGGCGGAGAAGAAGACGGCGCGGACTCCGTTCTGGGCGAAGTGGTTGGCCCAGATTTGGCGGAGCGGCAGGGGGAGCAGGTCCGCCTTGTTGACGACAATAAGGACCTGAAGGAAAAGAAAGAAAAGAAAAGAAAAGAAAAGCGAAATGCGCCTTCACCCGAGCCGCGCGCACGCCCGAGCGCGGTGCACGTACACCGCGGCGAGCTGCGCGTACACCCGAGCGCGGTGTACGTACACCGCAGGAAGCGCGGAGGCGCGCACACCTGCTTGCTCGGGGAGACCTCGCGGACATAACTTTCCAAGTCTCGGGACCTGAAGAAGTCGGGCGCGCGGCCGTCGACGACCTGCAGCAGCAAGTCCGCGCGCTCCACCGCGCGCCAGAGCTGCCGCCAGAGCTGCAGGTTCTTCTCGAAGGGCGTCAGCAGCAGCCCCGCCGCCTCCGCCCGCGCCAGCCGCCGCCGCCACTCCAGAAACGCCTCCGCCTCCACCGCCTCCAGCTCCGCGGCCGTCCGCGGCAGCGCTGCTGCTGCTGCTGCTGCTGCTGCTGCTGGGGGCGCGGGGGGGGCCTGCACACCGGCAGGGAGCCGGCGGACAAGTTCGGCTTCCGACGCCGGACGCTCTCTCGACGACGCCTCCTCCTCTGCTTCCTGTTCTTCTTTTTCGGATTCAGATTCCCATTCAGATTCAGATTCCAATTCAGATTCAGATCCCGATTCAGATTCAGATCCCGATTCAGATTCAGATCCCGATTCAGATTCAGATCCCGATTCAGATTCAGATCCCGATTCAGACTTTTCTTCGGATTCAGAATCTGTTTCTTTTTCTGGTTGAGAATCTCCATCTGCGTCGGAGTGGGGGTTCGAAGAAGAAGAAAAAGAGGAAGAAAAAGAAGTGGCGTCCGGAAAGTGCTGCGGGCCGTCGGGGGCACTCTGGGGTGTACGGACAGCTCGGGGGCCGCGGCCTCCGTTGGCCCTCGCGTCCTTCACTTCTTTTCTTTTTTGAAACTTCTGAAACTTGCGGTGCAGCTCTTCCCGCTGCTGCCGCACAAACTGCACATTGTGGATTGTGGCTTCTTCCACTTTGCCCGCCAGCAGCAGCTTCACGCGCGCCCGGTTCCTGCGCCTGCGGCTCCTTTCTGCTGCTGCTGCTGCTGCGCTGCTGCCTGCTGCTGCTGCGCGCCTGCTGCTGGCCTCTTTGCTGCACTGCTCCGCCATTTCCCTCGAGAACAAAATGGGCCGCCGGGGGATCGGCACCTCCACGCCCTCCAGCAGCAAGTCCGGCCGCTCCTGCTGCTGCTGCTGCGCTGCTGCAGCGCAGCAGGAGACCTTCGGCAGCAGCAGCGGCGCTGTGGGCTCCTGCAGCAGCCGCGCTGCGCTGCGGTCCTCAGCAAAAGTGTCTTGAGCAGCAAGAGACGTGGCCAGGTACTCGTCGAGGCTGCTGCGCTCCAACACGGATCGCAAGTGCTGCTCCGGGTGCTTCCTGCTGCTGCTGCTGCTGCCGGGCAAGGGACTTGCTGCACCAAGGGCCCCCGAGAGAAACTCCAAAGTCCTGTGGCGGGAAATGCTGCTGCCCATTGCAACCCCCGCGGGGGCCCTCGCCAGCAGCGCGCGAGACTCCTGGCTTTGCTGCTTCACAGTCTCCACAAACTGCTGCTGCTGCTGCGCGTTCGCCGCCTGCCGCAGCAGACACTGGTGCAGCACGGCGCTGCCGATTTCGCCCTTCTTCCCCCGCTGCTTCCTCCCGGGCCTCCCCATTGCAGCAAAAGGGTCTTCTGCACTTTCCGCTTTCTTTGAAAGTCCAAAAAGACTTCAAACACTCCCCAAATACCCCGGAAGCGCGGGCCCGAGCGCCGCAGCAAACCCGCACACCCGGCGGAAACCGCCGCGGAAAGCCCCCAATTTCGAACTCCTGGCCCTCTTTAGCAGCAAACTGTCGCGTTAATTTTCATTTGGGATCTTTTAAACAAAAAAGAATTCGAGAAGAGCCAAAGAACTCGCTTTCTGAAGAAAGTTCAACTTGGGAGAAGTCTTCGGCCTCGGTTGACTCAACGTGCATGCGGGGCAGCAGCCCGCGCTGCCGCAGCCGCAGCCGCAGCAGCAGAAGCCACGACGCCTCAACGCAAAATGCAAAAGATTAAGTGAAATTCTTTTTATTTGAGACTGAGGAGCTTCTGCATCTCAGTGGAAAATAGAACTTGTATTTCGCCAAAAGTGCGAGTTGCACGCGCGGATGGGTGGCGGTCAGTGCCGGGCCGCCTTCTTCAGCCCGTTCAAAGTACCCGCAACTGCCTAATTAAATTCATTTCAACAATTTCCTGTTGCTGCTGCTTTCGCATTTATTTGCAGCTCTCCGTTGTTGGGAGGAGATGGGGCAGCAGCAGGCCAAGGCGCTTCCCAAGATTATGAGGAAGGCGGGAGATCCCATGAACGTCTTCAGTGCGTCTTCAACTCCACAAACCGCCCCTTTCTTCTCCCAATTAACTTTAAAATTAAAATAAACCTCACTGGCGGTGGCGCTTCTTCTTCGCTTCCCCATTTCCCCCCAAGTTTCCCTCCGTTCACCTTCGGCAAGTCCAGCCAGTTGCAGGTGTAGCAGCACTGCGGCGTTCCTTGTCCAGAGCTGCAGCGCAGCAGACGAAAGAAAACGCCTTAAAAGGATATAATGGTTCTTTAAATTGTCGCATTTTGGACCTTTTAAACTCGGGAGAGTGGTGTTTCACCGCAGCTTTCCCTCTTTTCGCGCAGCCTCCTTTGCTGCTGCTCGCCTGCAGATCTGCCGAGTGTACACACGGAGGTCTTATACCCCACGGCCAAACGGACGGTCAACTTCTCCATCTGCCGCTGCTGGCAGTCCAGTGAGTCGGCTGCTGCTGCTGCTGCTGCTTCGATTCAGACTTTGTTGCTCGCCACTCCGCGCAGCAGGGCCTCTCCTCACTCCCACTGAGCCGGCATTTGATTGGCTTTCTGCTGCTGCTGCTGCTGCTGTGGGTCCGCTGCAGCGAAGTTTCCCATATGCGACAACGCGCATAAGGTGCTGCAGAAGCAAGGCTGCAACTGCGGTGAGTTGTTGAACAAGAATTTGCATTTTCTTCTTTTTCGTTTTCTCCATATTGGCCACTCACTTGCCCCTGAAGACCCAGCAGTGCAGCAAGAAGTTCCATTCCCTGCTGCTGCTGCTGCTGCTGCTGCAACGCAGGCCCCACTATGCTGGAAGTTCGCCAGGCCCCGAGCCTCACAGAGCCGCGAGATATGAACAGCAGCTTTGAAAGCAAAGAGCGAATGTCTGCTGGGGCTCTCTTTGGAGGTGCTGCGTCTGTTGCTGCTGCTGTCGCAGGTTTGTTTGCTTCTCGCTGGTGCTGCTGCTGCTGCGCAGCAGCAGCAGCAGCAGCAGTCTCGCGCTTGCTGGCTTCTCCTCTGTTGCTTTTTGTTGCAAACAAAAGCTGTTTGTCTTCTTCTTTGTCCGTTTGAAGAGATCTGAAGAGCTAATGTGGCCAAATATACTTCTTTTCCTTTGTTTTTGAAACAATCGCAACAAGAGCTCTGCTGCTTTTGTTTTTGTTTGCAGCTGGCGGCCACGCGTTTGGCTTTTTCTGAATTTGAAAAGATTTAAATGAAGACCTCGAAAGCGAGCTGCCGCTTGCCGAATGCAAGTTGCTGCAGGGACACCGGGCTGATCTCCCTTTTTTTCATTTTATTTTGCATTTATTGTTTCACATTTTTAAAATAAATTTGAATTGCTAACGAGGGATTCAAAAGGACTCCTTTCGTTTCAGTGGTTGGCTTTTCTTTCCGAATTCAACTTGGCAGAGCGGCAGTTAACTGGCTTCCGCTGGCAGCATTGCACAGCAGAGTTTCCTTACTAGCGATGCATTATAGGAAATTAGCCAGTAATTAAACAATTTAAAATAGTTTTAAATGCATTTTACAGGCTTTTTCGCAGATCTCGCTGGACTTAGTGAGCCAGCGAGTGCAGCAGTTTCTTCTTTCTCTCTTCCCGCATTTTTCAGATATTGCTGCACGTGAAGATGAAGTTTCTGGCCAGTTAGTCCTCACACCAAACTATGTTTCACTGGCCTTTTTTGATTTCGGAAAATGGGGGCTGCAGCTCTCATTATTCATCTCGTTTCCTCTCTTGAGATGCTTCCTAGAGCTATCTCTCTAGACTTGGGAAGAGGAGCCACTCTGGTTCAAGAGCCAGAGGCTCATAATTCCTGTGCCAGTTCAATTTGCATCTTACTACTGACAATTTGTAGCGTCAATTAAAGTTGCAACTAAGGCTGTGCAACTGTCCTGCATGAATGGAGCAGAAGTTCAAAAGTATGCGAATGCGGCACACAAACTGAGGCAAAATGGCATTTTAACAAGAATGCAAACCAAAATAGATCCTCTCAATGGCAAAAAGCACTGTATACCCTCTCAATTACAGTGCTTGTGCATCAGAACAGCTTGTCCCTGCTAGCTAGGTCTGGGGCAAGCAGGTTTGAAAAACGTGAATTTGCATGAATTGTGTCGAACTGCCCCAAATCGGCTGTAAGTCAGCAATACTCTCTTAATGTGATTTACAGCGAAATAATTTACAATAATTCCGTGTGAGTCGTCGCTGTAACCTCTGGAGGAACTAGAAATGCTGTTCACAAGTTTGAACTTCATCGGATGCAGAAAACATAAGAAGAGCCTCACATGAATTCTTACTTTAGTCTGTTGCTGTTGAACAAGCATTAGTTTTGCTGCCGCACTTCTAAGTAACATGCAACTCTTGGGATGCTTTCTCATCGTTCAACTTTCTGAAGCTTCGGCTTATTTTTCTCATGAACCAACGAGTATCGCTCTATTCTATTGATCCTTTTGAAATTGTTGTCCTTGACATGAAGAAACTCGCATATTGTGCTGCGAAATTTCTGAAAATATGAACATGCAGCAGTTCTTGCTCGGAAAACTAGTAGTGCCTGATTCCCCTCGAGAGAAGACACAACCATACCAGTAGGGGTTACTAATCTGCACATAACGAAACTGATGAAGGCCTTCAAGCCTTCACTCTCGCTCCATATCGGAAACAAATTCTGATGTGTCTTTGCGAATTGAAGATGAAATCCGACCACAGTGTGTGCAGTTTCCAGTATGATCCTGATCCTCAGTTTGGCACAGACGAGCACTCCCAGCCTCAACTTGCAAACTCCTCGGTGAGGCCTTTTTTCGCGAATGTTTGGTGAATCAAAACATTTGTTGAATGGCGATTTATCAAATCACTGTTTATGTCGTTTCGTTGGCGTTAACAGCCACAGAATCACGCGATGGGAATGCAGCTTCTCCCATGAACGTCACCTCTGACCCGCGCGCTGCAGCCACCGGGACACACGCACCGTGTATCTATGGGCGTTATTAAATCCCCTCGAAACAACGAAATTGTCGTAATAAAAGGAATACAGAGTGGTTGTGGCTGCTAGAGCAGGCCAAGCCAGCCCCGTTGCTTGAAAGGCCCCGCCTAGCCCCATGACATGCAGCGTCGAGTTGCTGTCCTTTTAGCAGAGAAAGTTCGCAGACGTTACCGTTTGGGTGTGGAACAAGTATGTGTGCATAAATATGGCCTCGTTATGGCTGGCCCGATTAAGGGCCCCACATCGTGGGGTCTCTTCCGGGGGCGTTCTCCTTCAAGGGGCGTTCAGGCCCTTGGCCGCTTTTCAGGGAGTGGCTCCTCACCAGAGGCCAACTCAAAGCCCTCAAACTCGAGCCTACGCGAACTTGAGTGACAGCTGGGGCTTCAAGAAGGTCCAGTACACCAAGTACCGCATCACGAAGCCGTGGACGACCGACACCCAGTTCGACGACATTCTTCTTTCCGAGCCCTCGAGGTCCGCATGCAGCAGTCAAATCCAGAAATAATTAAAGATAAATCTCGGAGGCGCTTTCATATTTGGGCGATCCTCCGAATGCGTGCATCCTGTGTTGGCTTTTTCCTACTGCCCTCGAGTGGAACCCGAGCACGTCGACGCCTCGCCTGGGCCATTTTGTCCCCGAAAAGCCGCATTGGCATTTAATGTTTACGTTTTGAAATATTTTCAAAACACTTTCCGTTTCTTATTGCTAATATAAAGAGCTTTGTGCGTGTGTGGAGGCTGAGCAGTGCCGCTGCGGTCGCTGCGTGTCTGCGTCTGCAGGGAGTCTCTGGCGAAGTTCACGAAGGAAGCGCCGCTGTTTCTGCGCTTTTTGAAGCTGGTGACGGATGTGGAGAACAGGCCTCGGGCCTTCATCGAATATGCGCTGAGGTGAGGCTGCGTGCGCGCCAAAATTGGCCGCGGATTCTTTCTGCTGCTGAGCAGCAGCAAGCCGCAGCAAGTCGCAGCAAGCTGCAGCAAGATGCAGCAAGCAAGCCGCTTGAGCTGCAGCTTGCAAAGAGCTCTTGACGCGCAGGTGCCGCGACGGGCTGGTGGTGGAGAAGGACGTTTACATCACCAAGGCGGAACTCATGAAGTGCATTTGGGAAAACGGCTATTCAGAAAACGAAATGAACGCCTTCGAATTCGCCTTCCCAGCCGACTACAAGTTCCACTACCCCGGTGGGCAGCTGGCGATTCTTATAAAGCTTTCTTTGCAAAATATCAGCAGCTGCTGCCGCCGGCTGCGCGGAGGCAAACGCCCAGCCAGCCAGCTCGCCTCTCCGGGGCCTCTTCGGGACTTGTAAGTTCACTCTGGAGGCCTCGCTGGGTGTCTCTGCAGAGCTGGCGGTCTTGTTTGACTTGCCGGAGGAGGAGTGCTACAAGTACTGCATGAGGCAGCGGGCGAAGACGCCCGAGGAGCTCGTGGAGGTGAAGTACGAGAAGCCCAAGAACCTGGTGAGACGGCTCCCCGATCCGCAGCAGAATGCGCTGCTTCCTCTTCTCAAGCTCTTCAAAAACAAGTCTTTTGCAGATTTGCTGCTGCGCAGCTCTCGAGCTACGGACTGTGCTTCCTGGGCGTCTGGTACGGCTTTTCGAACCAAGTGCTCAGCAACGCCTGGTTCTACTCCAAGACCTTCCCCTTCGGCGCGGTGTTCTACATGTTGGCTTCTTACTTTTAGTGAGCAGCAGCTTTCAAAAAACAATAAAACACTTTTAATGGCGCCAGCGGGGCGCCCCGGCACGCCCGCGGGAACGTGAAATGCGGAATGCAGCGTGGCTGTCCGCTGGTGCGGTGTGCGTGCAACTGCAGCCGGAACATCCGGGAATACTTGTGGAAAGAAGATAAAGCTCTTATTCAGGGAGCAAAGGAACGCAAAGACGCAGGCGAAGAACTGGTGCACCTGCAGCTGAAGAAGTACGCGAACGATGCGCGCTGCGTAGAGTACCTCTCCTCCTTCAAAGATGAAGTGCAGCAGCAGCTGCAGGAGTACCACGAGGCCTTGCTGGAGCAAATGAGACAGAGGATGGTGGAAAAGATGAACAGCAAACTTCTATCGATTCACCAGGCGGAGCAAGCCATCCAAGGCTCTCTTCACGAGGTAATCGTGAACGAGCTCATCGATTCCTTCCACAAAAAAGTCGAAGCCGACGCCAAGATGCAAGACGCAGCGCTGAAAGCCGCCATAGAGGGCATTTCGGGGGAAACTCCTTCAGTGGTAAGCTCAAGAGAAAGAGTTTCTGTGGGATATGCCGTCACTGGCAACATGAATTCGCTGCTTCAAGACGCCCGTCGATATGGATGTCTCTGAAGAATGCACTGACGGCAATTTGCATGCAACTAAGTCACTTATATGCTTCTGAATCTGCTCATGAATGAGCATTTCCATGCCCTTAAATCGAGATTCCTTCTGGATATATCAACACTTATATATGCGTCAGTTCCTATGCGGATACTTACTGTATGTTCAAGCTGTTGCGGCGTGATGAATGCATGCCTTTTTGTCACTGTTAACGCGTATTAATGTTCTTATCTGAGCATTCGTTTGTGCGTGTACGAATGTGCCCACGTTCGTGCGTACTTGTGCCTGGTTTCACTATACTTGTATGTTCACTTGTGTGCCGGCTCACTTGCTTTCTTGTTTGAAACTGTCATTGTGCGCGTACGCGTGTATATTAATGAATCTGCGAGGAGGAGCGGTTGGAGCTTTTCGAAGACGCAATATATTTGTCTTCTTCGATGTAGATGCTTACCTTTGCGTTTGCGCATGAAGGCAGCTGTGGGAGTATATCCTATTTAAGCCGAATGCATGCATTTGTAATGTTTGTGTGGGCATGTGTGCATGGCTTTCTGTGAGTGCTTCTGCGAGTCATGCATGATTCCAGGATCCAGTGGGAGCACACTTTCGAGCGTCGTTGAAAGAGCTCCAGAGTGCTGATGCGGAAGGATCAAAGCCAGCGCAGAGCGGATCAGTTCGTGAACGAGTATCTGCAATATTTCGCCGTCGTGAACAGGAATTCCTGGAAATGTTCACAGTCAGGTACTGGATGCGAACTAATCGTCTGCACGTTTCCCTACACGAGCGCTTTAGGGGGTGCCTATAACAGAGCTAGAAATAGCTGAATCATTTGTCTTGCTTCCACGTTAACGCAGTCCTGAGGAAGCTGATGAAGTGAAGCGCATCACTGGCAAATGCAAATCTGGAAATGGCTATGATTTTT